CTTTTACTCTTACGGTTTGTCTAAATAAAATATGTTATATGAATGTAATCCCATACGTATATGTATGGATAGAATAAATTATAGTAACTATAGCTCTTGTTCGACAACAGACAATTAACCATTGCCATGAAGTTTTAGTGTCAGGATGATTTTTAGTTTGAAATCATGTGTATTCGGATTTTTATACAAGCCTTTAAGCGGGTTGCAAAAATTATGTTAAAAAGTAAATTAAATTAAAAAAGTGAAAACATAATCTAAAAAACTTTAATCTTAAGAAAAATACAGGAAATTAGACTAAAAGAAATCGTATACATAAAAATACAAAGTAATTTATCATTTACATTATCTTCAGTTGAAAATAGCATTAAGATTAATTCTCATTAAATTGTAATTTAATATCAGTACCATTTGTCAGTGTAAGTGAGACCACAAAGGCCATGACAGTTATCAGAAGCGCAATTATCAGCCTTTATGAGGTGCACGTCAATCGAAAGTTGAACCTTTGTAATGGATAGTCTGATGTGAAGTCATCAAGCGTCAGCGACAGTTCATTATCTATTGCAAAATCAGAATTGGATTTGTCTATAATCTTTTAATAATATGCATAATTATGATAATGTCTCGCTTACTACTAAAGTAAATTAAAAAATTATTATAATAATTGCCTAGACAGAAGATGGATAAACACGAATCCAATGCTGAGGAATGGTAACTGCAATAAGAAAATAAGTCTTTTAATTAAATAATATGCACTTTTGTGAACTATGAACGAGTTCACAAAAGTGCATATTATTTAATTAAAAGACTTATTTTCTATGGTAATGGTATATGTCTACCCAGATAGCAGAAAAGAATCATATAATTCGGTGGAATAGAAGTTTTATATTAGAAAGGGTATTAAAAATATATACGGACGAAAACAATGAAAGGGAATATTAAAACAATGGATGAATTGAGGAAAGCAAATAAAAATGAACTTTGATAGGGAAAAACGTAAGAATAATATGTACCGCGGCGACCCCATAATAGGATAAAAGGAAAAGAAATGATGATTACTAGACAAACATACATATCCAGTTCATTTAAATTTATGTCAATTCATAGAAATATATACTATTATGACTTAGACAACATTCACGGGTTATTTTTTCTTTTTAATGTTCAAATATATATTTTTATTACACATTTATAGTTTAATATTTTTAAAATTAAAAAATATGATATGGTGATATGATAATAATTTAGCGTACTTGAGTACATTATGAAACTAAACCAAATATTTTATCAAAGTTACTTGTTAAACAATAAACTTAAATTAACGCATACTTAAATATATATGCACAGTACAAATATACTCTGAATTAGCAGACTAGTGGGATGAAAATAAATCTACATTATAACAAATATTGTCAGGATCACTATCTCCAGTGATATCTACCGATTCACATAGCTCTGATACTTTAATGTATCTTTACTATATTTCATTGATTACATTTCTAAATGTGTCTAACTAAAATATTTTATTACTATCAATAGTAATAACAAAAATGCATTCCTATATTGTTATAAGATACGAACAATATATATCCAATTCTTTGAGGTTACGCTGTAGCTAAACTAATGAGGGGCCACTGATATTGTGCCCAACAAGCAACAGCCCCTCAGCTCGACTCGCCCTATAAATTGGTTTCATGCATATTTATTTATTCAAATATGTATGAATTGAAATCTCGACTACTCAAATATGGCGCCGGACGAAAATTGAATCAACAGGCCGTATTTGACATGAGATATAGTGTTTGAATAAAAAGCTCTAAAGAACTGGATATTTGATCTTTAAATTACTTTCCGTAAGTATGAATTGTTATATTAATAGTAAAGGAACAAGAATAAATATTTAGTAATCTTATAAAACTGAATTGTTTGTTAGGATGAACGCACTAGTACCAAATGATAAAGGTTTGAATGTTTTTGTTATTTGTGTTGGATAGAATTTTAAATAGTTCATACAGAAAATATATCAATAGAATTTAATTTGTTATCGTGATTCGCGATAAGTTTTAGTTTTAAAAATATTTTGTATTGCTATCATATACATTATACGTACTTGTGTGGTACTATATTACTAAAATAATGTACTAGTTTCTAAAAAAAAAAATATTGAACCAAACTAATATTGTTGCGTAAATTTTCAGCTTATTCTTTATTTTCACATACAATAATTTAGGGATATGCTAGTGGTTATTATAATGAGTCGAGTTATGCAACGGCGCGTCCTAATCTTGTTTGGAGAGATAAAGCACGTGGGTTAGCTTGTATGTGTACTCTAAGTTTTTAATTTAATTTACAATATTTTGTAATTTATTAGACCCCTTATTTGATAACGAAAGTCGAAAGTGTTTGAAGGTTTAAATTGGATCAGGTGTTTTTATTTCAATACTTGTGTTAAAAATATATCATTCACTATCTATACGCAAGTACTCCATATAAACGTTGAATATAAAATAGTCTTTTAAAATAGGTATACATATTAAATTCTACGAACAGTTTGCATATAAATAATTTGTAATTGCACAAATTATAACAATTACAATAATATTTACATAAAAAATCGATAAAAAGGTAATCTCACAACTAAGGGAGACTTGCATATTCATATTTCGATATGAAAATGTAGTATGTTTACAAGAAGTAGATTTCATAATAAAAACTAAAATCTAAAGAGAAACTGTAATTTTCTTAAAAACTGTCTGGGATACCAGCACAGTTTTTAAGAAATTTAACGTATAACAAAACATAATGTTATTTCTCATATAACATATGTAGAGGTATAGAGATAAATATAACATAATCAATTGCAATTATGAAAATTAAATAAATAGGACGATGGAACTGGTACTACAAAAAGATTTAAAATGTAAAAATAAACAGAAATTATTTAATACCTTGACACCACTTAACAGGCTACTATGATATTACAGGGCAGAAAACATTATACTAAAAATCATTTCCAATATGTTTGTGTTATCAGAATTTTAAAATCAAAATCTATATAAATACAGTACGTATTTGTTATAATAGTTCCAGAACATACTTATATTACAGTTGAACTACAAATTACTCCTAATAGGACACTCGAAACTTCAATTACGTACAAAATAATGCGTTTCGCAATTGAAATGTTAGGCCCGGCGGACGTTCACAGATAATAAATGAAGCAAACGTTCCGAAGCTTGAAACTAATTAAAGTCGTCGGTACGAATCAATACTTATAAATTAAGACGGTTTAACTTGCAAAGGTAATTGGGCAAAAGTTCATTTCAAATATTGATACTGCTGTGACGTCGTCGTACCTACGGAGAAATTTATCCGTTAAGTCCCATTTACATGAAACGTTAAAAAATCTTACATATATTTTCTTAATTTTGTTACACTTACTTTTATATTATAGACAGAAAAAACACAAGGAAACAAAACATTCAAGAATCTGAATTTTGTGCAAAAAAATAAGTAAATGTATATTTGCATATCAGATAGTGTTTATCTCGTATGAAAATACTGAAGAGTGATAAATTAATCGTTAGTTGTAATTTATAATAATTTAATAATTTGCTCATGACAATTCTAAACAGGTCCAAACGGTATTTTTAGTCCTTGATTTTATTATAAGTAAACAACAATAGTCTAATAACGGGTCTCAAAGAATATGAAATTATTATTACTATTTTTACACAACGATGATGATAAAGGAGCTTATAGCCCATCTAATGGTTACCGTATCCTATGAACGCCTGAAACACCTAATGTAATATTGAGAAACATATCGACCGAAAATCATTAACTAATAAACTTACGTCTGATCTCTCTATATTACATATCGTTCTTTGAGTTTATTAACAAATATTAGCACATGTTAATGATATATAAAAAAATAAAATATGACAAGAGTATAAACGATGGTAGCAAGTTCTATAAAAATAAATATAACGTTAAATGTTGGAAAACTGTTGTGGACGCGTCCTCATAGTACCGACTTTCAAAGTTACCTTATATTCTTTCGCTTACTTTATATTATTTAGCTTTGATATATTCGCAATTTAAGTTGCCTGAAACTCGACGAAGAGGCGGCTGGATTAAATTACATATTTTTTTTCTTACTTACCAACGAAAGCAAATGACTTTAGAGTGTAAACACAACGTTCAAGAGAGGGTAGAAATAAATTTAAAAGTAAAAAAGATCGAAAAATATTTTCGCTTCGGATTAGCGAACTCCGAATTTGTGTTTCTTGTACCTATAACTGACTTTGTAGTAGCAAGTTTGTGTTAATAATTATTCTTTTTTTAAGTTACTTTGATACTGTACCTATATAATCTGTGTAAGTTTAATAAGATTATCAGAGTATAATGAAATTCATATCTGACTGTAAATAGTATAGTACGAAGGTAGAATAGTGGACTGATTGACAATAAATTAAATTTTATATACGTGAGCATTATGATTTTTGGAAAATCCTGACGGTTGGCACAAGTTTCTTATCAGATTGAACGTGCTAATTGTCACCATCATAATATAAAAACACTAGAAGAATAAGGCGAATAATTTTCATTTACACAGTATTCGCTTATATGGAGTAGTATAAATCTATGTAAAAAAATAATTAATGAAGAACATATAAAAATAAACCTAACGAGTGTGCTAGAGTAGATATTTAATTACATAAAAAATAAATAGATGACTAACTACTTGACGACCCAATTTACCTATGGTCTATATACATGAACATGATGAGTTGCCATTCCAGAGGACGAAGGTGTATCTCCTCTATCATCTCTCTATCCTCTTATCATGTAAATGCATATATTGAGAGTGCACAAACATTTGAATTCCAAACAATTAAATTGTAACATTCTGATTCATGTTACATGAGTATGTTTGAGTGTAAAGACGGCTATATGTTATTTTTAATACAAAATATTGATACACAAAATAAAAATTTTACCTTAATTCCAATGTGAATAGGAAAGTCCGAGGCCAAGGCAGGTTGCGGATGTAGTGCCGGCAACAGCGGCAGTGGTAGGGGGCAGGACATCATAGTTGCGCCAACCTGGAACAAAAACATTTTAAATTTAATATTATGACTATTGTTGATTAATGGAAAGTGTCGGAACCTAGTGGTTTACTACTCTGAATGATACAAGAGGTCGCGAGTTTAAATTAGGCCGTCACCATAAATAAGTTTACCGCAACATTGACAGTTGACAATGCCTCTATTCCATGTGAGGTAAAAAGTAATAAGGGTATGTATACATATTTTATATAATAATAAATATTATAATATATAGTATAAGTTACTAAAATGTATAGTTAGTACAATAAGTTTCTATTTCGAATGTTTATAATTAAATAAATAAATAAGACACTTTTATATACTAAGTAACATATCACATGTTGACTACATTAATACGTAACTCCACAACACATCAACAATCAAACATCCACAACTTATCTCTTTTTTTTTATACCACTTAGGTGGCAAACAAGCATACGGCCCATCTGATGGTAAACGGTTACCGTAGCCTATGGACGCCTGAAACACCAGGGGTGTCACATACGCGTTGCCGACCCGGTGCCGGTTGTCTTGAAAAACCCCATGCTGTAGTCTCGTGGGAAAACCTCGGCGGAAAGTTCATTCCACAATCTAAGTGTACGCGGAAGGAAACTCCTCTGAAACCGCACTGTCCGAGACCACTTAGGTTCCAGCGTGTGGGGATGAATTCCCTGTCGATGGCGAGCTGTGTGATGGTAAAAGGTAGCCGTAAGCATCATGTCAAACAATTCATCAGAATCCGTTGTATATTCGGTAGAACACACAAAGCGATGCGAAGTCTCGCCTCAAGCTAAGTGGTTCGATATCGTTTGAGAGATTGAGATCATCGACAATTCTCATAGCACGTCTCTGAACCGAGTCAAAAGGACCGAGCTGGTATCCAGGTGCTCCTGCCCAAAGATGAGAGCAGTACTCCATGTGCGGCCGAACTTGCGACTTATACAAAAGAAGTCTCTGGTTCGCAGTGAAGTACCGCCTCGCTCTATTCAACACACCGATTTTTGGATGCCAGCTTGACCTTTTCTTCGACGTGACTACGGAACTCAACTGTACGAGAGATGTCGACACCGAGAATCCCAATGCTATTAGAGATGGTAATGGATGTGTTCTGGAATTGCGGAGCCACAGCAAAAGGGGTTTTCTTCTAATTTACATTAATTTTACAAATCATTTATAAAAGTAGAACGAAAGAGAACCATCCATATCGGTCGTTGGTATAACGTTAGCCAAAAATTATGCACGAAAAGATAATGTCTAATACTGAAGTATCTTAAAAACAACAGCAAATTAATACTACGAAAAATTTGTAATTAAGTTGAAATCAAGTCTAATTATAAAACTATTATGCTGCTTATATAAATTGTGTTAATATAATTATGTCAGGATACTATAGACGCGATATCTTTTTATCTCTAGTTTCTCATAGTTTCATGAGCTAGATCTTTGTTGCACATAAAATGTTCATTTCATTCTCGGATATAAAAGGATTGTTTAAGATTTTTTGTTGAAATATATTTTATTACCTATCATACCTCATGTCTCACATAGTAACTGTATCATATATGATATCTATAAACTTATACCCGTATTACGAATGTAATATTTACATTATCATTTATTTAGAACGTGAACTAAACGTAAACACGTACGTACATCCACTTAGTCACGGCGATTAGACCAATCGACCGTATCAATAAAAATACATACAACATCGAATACGTCGCGAACAATTCAGTTAGCAATGTATTCGAAAAGCCCGGATAAACTCTGTAGATATGCCTCTCTAATATTCCGTATGGACCGGTACGCCCGCTGAAAACGTTATGAATAATATATACGAGTGAATGCAGGGCCGGTCGTGGGAGATCAGTCGGTATTACGTACCGTGACAAATATAAGCGACGAACTGACAGCACCATGTTGAAATTTATTTATTTTCATATTTCATTACTGTTGCATAGTCAAACTACGATATAAGGATTTAAACAAACAACTGCTTTATTGATCGAATGAAATTGCTTACATGAAAAGTAAAAACATAAACACCCACAGCAAAATTAAAAAAATAATGATGGGCTTGAGTTATTTCACTTGCGGGGACAGTACTCCACATTTGCCTTGCCTGATATTTACAGAACCCGTACCTATACATTGACAACTAGACAATACCTGCGACTTCGTCCACGTGATCATGATAAAGCAAGTAAATAAAGTTACCTATGTTTTTCTCAATGCAAATGACAAAACTGAAAAGCTGTTAAGACGTAACTCCATTTTTCAAATTTATTTTCGATATTAAATTCTTTAATTCCTATTAAGATAGGAAAGGAGAGGCGACATTCGTTCCCATTATTAGCAATAATTGAGATGAGTCATAGACATAGTCATCATACCTCCACCTAATCGCCCTCGGAAACCATCTTAGTTGATTTGTATTTTGTTATCATCCAGTTTACGTCTAGTATAAACCATATATGAGGTACGTAATCAGGAAGCGGATTCATCAATGTTCGACAGGCATGGAGAAAAAATTACTTACAAACATTCTGCAAACTACTTCACATAACTCCGCGTCAGGCGTATGCATTCCTCAGTACGTAGGCGCATGGTTTGACGCAAGCAAGTGTAGAGAGTTCTATGCGATTTTTCAAGATAGCAGTTTTAATCCTGTCTATGTTCTGCATACAATATGTTTCCAAGCCTAATTTTGTGTAGTAAATTGCGGAATAGACTAACGTTTTTAACTCCCATAGTGTAAGTCATTATCATCATCATTTTAGCCCAGAAGACGTCCACTGTTGAATAAAGATCTCCCCCGACAAATGGACTATCCAATACAAAAATAATTATTAAATTCGAACCATTAGTTCCTGAGATTAGCATGTTCAAACGAACAAACTCATCAGCTTTATAATAATGATAATGATGAAAATATAGAGATTGTATATGTTAGTCTCAAGGAAAACGTATTTAGCTAATTTTATTTAAAGTTAGTCGTATCATTTTAGGCCATATTATTCAATAGCCTTAAGCAATCATATACTGCCAACAGGTTTATTTTATTATTAATTAATAAATATTTAATAATTTCATAACATTTATGTTATTATTAAATTTAACTATTCTATTTGTAGACCTTTTAAAATTGTATATAGTCTCAAGGTATATCTATCTCCAATAAAATATTTAGTACTGAAGTATTAATACCTGTAACTTAATGGTTTGTTTATTGCAACAATATGTTTTTACTAAAAATAAATACTATTAAATAAACATGTAAATGAAGTGAATGAGTAATTTTGTATTCCTTTTTTTTTCAGAATAAATCACTAGTTGTTACAAACAAGGGGCCTATTTAACCCAAGATACCGTGCATTGTAAATTTTTAGACCCCTTCCGAAATTAACACACTGCGATACAATGTGAGTTTGATTCGGAAAGGATACAAAGTTTTAATCGAACGCCGACGGAACGGACCCGAGCGCACCCACGGGACTCCTTGTTACAATAAATTAATTAAACTATATATGATTATTTAATGGCCAGCATGAATTAATTATACGAGTTGACATTGACGATAGATTGAATAAATACAAAGTTTTGAGCAAACGCTCATTATTTAATTGATTAATTAATTTATTCTTAACAACGACTGTGCACTACACTCTTCATCAGTTGATGTACCAGATTGTTCAACAGTTTAACTATGTATATAAGTACTTTATTGTTGTCATTTTTTTTCCCAGAGCATCATGTACAGTTGGTTATATAATATGCATTTGTTAACTTATATAATAGTAAATTTTGTATTATAATAATGCATATAGTATGCTAGAAACACTATGGAATTGGTAAAAGCTTTTTAACTCATAGAAACCTATCAATTTCTAAGGAAAACACATAGTCTGTAATAACAGTTTAAACGTTCCTCCTAAAACTTCAGATTGTAAACATTTATTTATGAAATAAAATAAGGACGTTTACGTTTCTAATGAACAGAAATAGAATAAAATTTGATACATACTGAATAAATGAAATCGTAGATTAAATTGTAGCATTAAACAATAATATGGTGAGTAAAGCCGCGGCAGACAGTTAGTTCTCAAAGACCATTTATTAAATGGCCACCAATATTGTCAGAACCTTTAGAAATGTAACCATAATATGAACGATTGCACATAAGAGTCTTGTGAGTTATGACTTGATGCATTTTTCAATTTCCATTCCATTTTATGTCAAATGCAAAGATTTATCGAAACGCACAAATATGTGCTTACGGAATATCTGTGTGTCTGTTATATAAGTGTTGTTACGTGTTAGCCTTCTAGTTCCACGTACATACATTTTATATTAGTTATCTTTAAAAGTTTTTATTATATATTACTAGCTGTCCCGGCAAACGTTGCTTTTGCCATATAAATTAATAACGCTATAAAAAAAATAGGGGTTGGTGATGGAAGGGCGAAAATTTAAGGTTGTATACATTTTTCAGTCCTAAATAATAATAAAATGAAAATAAAATATTAATTTTATTTTTATTTTATCATCTCTTACCACTTAGGGGTATGAAAAATAGATAGTAGCCGATTCTCAGACCTGACTGACTGACCTGAATTTGCATATAACATTTTATAAAAATTGGCCGTCAAGCCGTTTCAGAGGAGTATGGTAGCTAAAATTGTGACACGAGAATTTTATATATACGATATTTCATGTTATATAACATAATTTGTTATTGTTGTACTTGGCTGTACAACAATAACAAATTATGCCGGTCTAGAATAATAAATATAGCAGTAGTGTATTAAATCAAATCAAATCAAAACATATTTATTAATTTACGTCTATTATGATAAGTCAAATTTACCGTCAGTCAGTTCGGAATGCTTTGAATGCTTTTTGAGAACTGAAAAGAAACTCAGCTTGTATTCTTTTCAAATATTGTTTGCAATATTATACCATTGTATTCTATTAAACCAATTATATAATAATCTTTA